TCCGTGTACATTTTAGGACAGTCGGGAGAACATTCGTGTATAGTTACTATACATTTGTTGACAGTCGGGAATACACCTGTGACAGTTGTACAATAGAGAGTGCCGTTGTGATGAAGGAGTGTTGATGTTGTCGGTGCGACAGTGGTGTGCAGTCGGGATAGATAGATAGATAGATAGATATAGAGAGAGAGGATAGATAGATAGATAGATAGATATATATATACGTAGCATACATACACCTCGGGGAATCATTGTGTTCAGCTTGGAGAATCAGGAGAACGACACCGTATATACTACCCCAAAGACCTTAAAGAACAATCGATTCTTTCATATTACTATAGTTAATCTGGTTTTCATGGCGAGACAGATAAGCCATTATATAAAATAATCGGGTGTTCTTTAACTTCTTTTGAGTAGTATATATATATATATATATATATATATATATATATATATATATATATATATATATATATATATATATATATGGTCAGATTCACAAGTGACGCTTTCACTGTCGAAAACAAAGAAACCTAGTTTCCAGAACGTGGTACTTGGATGTTCGTTGTTTAAGGCACACTCAGACATATTCCAGTTATATGGCGACGATCTTTAAATCGAGTCAGGACTAGACAAACAAGTGATTGATATCATTAGCACCGACCCATGCAGTGGAGTTACGATGACATGCAGCCAACCGAGTCTGCCCACTCGATCCATTACGTCGCTCCTTCAGTCGGCATGAGCTGCTGGGGCCCTAACCGGAAGCCCTGGAGTGAAACCCACGGGAAGATAGATGGAAACTATGGACGCAAGACTGACAGGCTGTTACCTTGTTCGTGATACGACCCGGTTAACTATGAAAGTGAGTGAGCTAGGTTTAACGCCGCTTTTAACAATAAAAAGCCCGAAGGTCTTTAGGTGAAACCCCTCGCTATGGGTATGGTGCTGACAAACCTAGAAACATTATCGGGGAGAACCGAGATTCGAACCCCAAATCATGGGTTTCTGGCGTGCCCAAGTGACAACTAATCGCGGCGATTTGAGTGAGTATGGTTTTATGCCGCTTTTAGCAATATTCCAGAAATATCACGGCGGGGCACACCAGATAATGGGCTTCACACATTGTACCCATGTCGGGAATCGAACCCGGGTCTTTGGCGTGACGAGCGAACGCTTTACCCGATAGGCTACCCGACCTCCCCCGCGGCGATTTGAGGCGCCTCAGACGACTGGGCCATCCGTGCCCCCGAATATGCAAGTGACCGGGGTACGTTGATGTAATGCCATAATATATACTACTCAATATTTGATAGGGGTGCTGATATATTTCATACCGTTACGGAACTAGAAGCCCGCTTCTTATTGAATTATGTATTTTCAATGAAACCGAACAGTCCTTGGCCCCGTTCCACAAAGCGATCTTAGCTATACGGGGATCCTAAGCCTAGGTTAAAGTATGGGACGCCAAGACCGCTTGGTAGAACGGGGTCCTCGTCAATATTGAATAAGCGATCAGACACATTTGGTCCTCACATGGACACTCAGAATATCCCTATCAAAAGTTGAGTAGCATACAAAATACTTGGAGAATCGTATTCACTGAACCATGAATGTGATTTGTTTCATGTAGTTTGAAATTATCGATAATAAATACCGTCGAGTTGTATATATTGGGCACAAAGTAAATGGCTTTATAAAAGCAAAAATGCATCAACCACTTTTCATTTCCGATATCACTTTCTAGTACCGTAATCAGGGGAGACTTCTAAGGACGAGGGGACTATACGTTCCTGGATTCCAAGACTAAATCTACATCACGATCAAACAAATACGTACATCCAACAGACATTGGACATTTACCAAAAAGAAATTAGTAATGAAAGCAATGCTAGTTTTGGGTAGGACTGTACCGGTACCGCTATAGTAAGCTAAGTGCATTTAAAGCCCTAGGTCTCCAGCTTCGGGCGAGGCGTCTATCGGAATATCTCGGGTTCGTTCTATCGGAATATCTCGGTTTGTTTTCTCTCATCTCAAGATACCTACTTTGATAATAAGGGAGTAAAAACAACACGAGTTGACATGGTACTGCGTCCTGCGATAGGCTATCACTTGTGATGTGCAAATGGTCGTTTAATGTCTTTTGATTCTGCACGAATAATCCACTTCGTCTTCCATTGTTAAAGGAATTCATGTTAATATAAAAGAAAAGCGATGGAATTTTATCGTGATTAATTCAAAGGGAATGTTTTTTGTCAAAGTGCCAGTTAGCATTGTATATTGAATGTACAAAACAGTTTAAGCATCAAAGACAAGAGTTTGTTTATCACGTATAGATATAAAAAATACTTCAGGATCTATGGTTTGCACATGTGCATCTTATAGTGTGAATGAGTATGCTTTGAAAACTATTCCCGTCATACCCCGGCGTGTCTCTTTAATGTGGGAGAAGATCCCGAAGCGACGCGGGCCGCGGGCGTCATATTTTTGGGATTTTGTAAAATAATTCGTTCCAGAAAATACTGTGAAAAAATCATTTGGCCTCAAAAGTATTTTTTGTTTCTTTTGGAGCACTGTCTGAACGAGTTATGTTGCCTCCAACAAAACTCGATTTCTACAGTAAAGACAGCAGTACCGGTGTTACCTCCCTGGCCTCATAACGCTTCAAATTGTTGTTTGCTTGTTTGTTGTCTTGGGCCGCATTCAGCAATATCACAGCTATATAACGGCGGTCAGGTAAACCAGTGACCGAAGGGAAGAGCAACAATTTACGCCACCGGGGTACGATGACACCCAATCCACACGGGTAAGAAATGAGGTGAGGTGAAATGGGGTTTAACGTCACGTCCAAGATTATTGCACTTATATAGCGATGTACGTGTGTGTGTGTTTCTGTGGCTGCTTGTACTAGTCCGGACTGATGCCGATTTATAGTGCTAGCTCACTGAGATACCATGCCGCAGTTTAACATGGATACCCCACTCAGACACAGTATACTGACTCCGAGCCGACCAGTCCTTGTTTAAGCTCCTTAATGCCGAGCGCCAGACAGGGTAACAAAAAGTACCATCTTTTAACGTCTTTTGGTATGACGCGGTCGGGGATCCAACCCCGGACCTTCCGCTCTCCGGGCGGACGCTCTACCACTAGACCATGGAGGCGGTCGGTAAGAAGACCTACCCAAGGACCCGTGTAGACGAACTGGAGAGGTCGATGTCGTCACAGACATGTACCCCAGATACCCTTTGATGTGATCAGTTCATCTTCAGGCAAGTTGCTTGTTATGGACCGACCATGTGATATTCTATTTTACACACAGATAATTGCTTTGAACAAATGTTGAGTATTGAAGCTGTTGCAGTGATAACCTGGCCCAACCCATCGGATATAACGAATTGGCGTCAGGGATCCATGAGCCAGGTACATCAGTCATTGCTTGCAGTGGTACTATTCAACAACTCGGTCCTGCCCGATCAACGGTGAGCCCGCTTTCCATCTCAAATATGGTGAACTTCGAAAGAAATGCCCACTTGACACGCCCTTTCTGGACTTACTGGCCACACTTTTTGTGCGATGATGCGGTGTATTTTCAGTAAGGGACCTATGGTACGATACGTATCAGGATATCCTGCTAATGACCAACGAAGCGCTACATATGCCACGTGGCCAGCAGTACACTACATGTAACAGCATGTGACCAACGATGAGCTGCAAATCAAAACGTGACCAACGATAAGCTATATATCCCATGTGACCAACGATAAGCTATATATCCCATGTGACCAACGATAGCTATATATCCCATGTGACCAACGATAAGCTATATATCCCATGTGACCAACGATACACTACAAATGTGATCAGATATGCTACAAATTAAAACATGTAACCAACGATACGCTACATATCCCATGTGACCAACGATACGCTACATATCCCATGTGACCAACAATACGCTACATATCCCATGTGACCAACAATACGCTACATATCCCATGTAACCAACGATACGCTACATATCCCATGTAACCAACGATACGCTACATATCCCATGTGACCAACAATACGCTACATATCCCATGTGACCAACAATACGCTACATATCCCATGTGACCAACGATAAGCTACATATCCCATGTGACCAACGATACGCTGTATATCACGTGATTAACGATACACTACAAATGTGATCAGAGATATGCTACAAATTTAAAACATGTAACCAACGATACGCTACATATCCCATGTGACCAACGATACGCTACATATCCCATGTGACCAACAATACGCTACATATCCCATGTGACCAACAATACGCTACATATCCCATGTAACCAACGATACGCTACATATCCCATGTGACCAACGATACGCTACATATCCCATGTGACCAACAATACGCTACATATCCCATGTGACCAACGATAAGCTACATATCCCATGTGACCAACGATACGCTGTATATCACGTGATTAACGATACACTACAAATGTGATCAGAGATATGCTACAAATTTAAAACATGTGACCAACGATACGCTACATATCCCATGTGACCAACGATACGCTACATATCACGACATAATAAGTGCACGAGTGCGTGCGTTTGTGATTTCGTGCGTTTTGGGGGAGAGGGTATCCATAATTCGTTGATTTTGATAATGCTACATATCACATGGGACAAGCGACACGCCACAAATAACGACATGTGACCAACGATACGCTACATATCCCATGTGACCAACGATACGTTATTTATCACATGTGACCAGCGATACGTTATTTATCACATGTGACCAGCGATACGTTATTTATCACATGTGACCAACGATACGTTATTTATCACATGTGACCAACGATACGTTATTTATCACATGTGACCAAAGACACGTTATTTATCACATGTGACCAACGATACGCTACATCAAACGACAAGTTTGATGTCTGATTCCCCCCAAGTACGAAGTATCCTGACGGTGTGAATGAAAAAAAGACACTGAAAATAGTTCGATCTTTTATTGGCAGTTATTTTTTTACAGGCCGTCGTCGACTATGTGTTTCTGTCAGTGTCGGTTTTACTATCATGTTTCCCGTCATTTGCAATCTGGAAATCTTCCTCGGCAAGCACGGTCAGACCCGGGTATGCGTTCTCCACTGAAACAAGCAACATGAAGGTTCAGTATTACACAGACAATACTCTATAGTAGTAGTAGTAGTGGTTTATTTCAGTAAGTCAGGCCACAGGCGCATTTTACAATATATATTCAAGCATTCAAACATGTTGCGCCACAAGTGCATGTAGTAATATCAATACTAATCAGTACAAGGGTATCTGAGACCATATACATATGGTGGTAGAATTAGTAGTTTATATAATGGACAACTGCTTGCTCCTCATTTTAAGAGCAAAGAATGTAAACTTGGCAAGATTATTGATTGTGAAAGCATTTCTGGTGGTAAATAAAACCTTACATTTATGCTCTGATGGAGATGTATAATAATAACTTGGCAGAAATTTTCTTCTAAGATCGTCATAAAACAATACTCTATAATCGTGTATGGTTGATATTCGATGTTTGTCATATCGGCCTGTAAAATAATCGAGGTGAAATGGGGTTTGACCACACCTTCAACATTATTGCGCTTATATAGAGACGTGCATTCACGTGTGTCTTCTTGTACTACTAATGCCAGTTATAGCCCACAGATACCATGCCGCAGTTTCACAAGGACACGCCTACTCAGATACAATGTACAGAATCCGAGCCGACCAGTATTTGTTTTATTTCCCTTATGACGAGTGCCATGCAGGGTAACAACAATACCATCTTTTAACGTCTTTTGGATCAAAGCACCGACCTTCCGTTCTCCGTGTAGACACTATCAACTAGACCACGGAGGCTGCTGGCTCGAGTTATAGTGAGTGAGTGTTGTGTTATGCCACAGTCAGCAATATTACAGCCATATCACGGCTGTAAATCGAGTTACGCCCTGACAAGTGACAGAGCATGATAACGTCCAACACCGTAGGCATGAAGCTATGCTATTAGCCCGACCACCCGATACCCTTTTCCATACAAGCAAGTCATGATTCTGACCTATGATTCCCCGGATCACTAAACGGGGCAATCGAGCCTGTACCAGACAAACCAGTGATTGATATCATGAGCGACGTCACACGCCACTGGGGCTGGATAACGTGCAATCAACTAGAGTCACCGATCCTGACCAACCAACCAACCAACCAAACCACTCGTACAGGTGGGGTATTTATTTCAATGTTAAACTGTTCAAAACGGAAGAGATCACCTGGGCTTCTGAACACTGGTGCTGAATGTTTTGCAATCAACGCAAGGAGCGGATGAAAATAACGCGGTCTAAGGGAGATAATTCGGCAATCCTTTTTCGTTTTAATCCATACGATTTTAGTTTATTTGTGTGTGATCACCCCAAATCAAATTACTACTATGTGTAAGTCTTAGAGGAAAGTATTTGACTTCTAAGTAAGGCTTTGATTTAATGTGAGTTATATAATATAAATCGGTCGCTTGTCTTGTCCTGTCTCTTCACAGACCGCCGTCATACAGCAGGAATAAGTCCTCGACGGCCCACCCCGGCTAAGTACGATGACAAGGAATCAGCGAGCCTGACCAACCGATCTATTTAATCGCCTCCTACAAGCACAGGAAGAATTCCCAGGGCTTCCACTAACCCGGAATGTAAGCACTGTATCTTATTCAGTCATGTGCTTGACAACGATAGTTGACAGTTTTGTGGAAGATGATATATCCTACTTCGTAATTACGTGATAATTGTAACAGTTTCACGAAGAGGTGAGTGAGTTGGGTTTAACTCAGCTTTGAACAGTATTCCAGTTATATCACGGCGTGTCAACTTAATGTGGGAGGAAAACCCAAAGTGATGCAGGTCTCAGACGTTTACCACTTTGGTGAAACCCACCAACACGGGTATGGTGCTGACGAACCTAGAAACAATCATGCTGAACCGGGATTCGAACCCACAATCATAGGTTTCTGGCGTGTTCAAGAGACGCAAATCTTTACATGGAATTGCGGCCCCGTGTTATTAATGTTTACATGAAACAGATTTTGCACATTCATTTGTGAATGAAGCCCGATAAGCAATAAGTCCCTGGCTTGAAGAATCTCAGATTAAATAATTTTCCTTGATGTCCAGCCATGTCCATGATATGTCCATGATATGTCCAGTCATATAAGGCCAGTAGAAAAATACCCCCGTCTTTCGTTGAGTAATATATGTGTTGAACATCCGTTCTAGGGGGAAAAGTCAAATATAGGATTTTCAATTAAAAACAAACCGCCTAAATCCACGAAATGGGCCACAAGTCAAATATTTATAACAGGAAACCCGGAAAAAAATGCATTCAGTGTCGGGGCGACTGCTGTTGTGAAAAGCTCGCGGACGCTTACTTGAAATCTGTGGTCGAAAGAGGATATTTTACGTGCGTTTCAGAACGATATCACTGTCAACAATATAAAGATGACAGTTTTATCATTGCGACAATCCGTTTAAAAATAAAACACCTTACACCAAGTCGCAATTCGTTACTAATTGGGCAAACATTCGAACAATATTCTGCACCACTCTGTCTCCAAACCTCGGAGATTGACAATTTCCTTTCGGACCGTCCGGTGGAAACTGATGTTAATTCTTCAAAGCCCATTAAGTATACTGTTTCAGACTTTCCGGTGCAATATGAATTTCATATTAGATTAAATCGTTCGCTCATCACGCTGAAGTAAGTTTGTTTGCTGTTTAACGCCACACGCAGCATTATTCCAGCTATATGACGGCGGTCTGTAAATAATCGAATCTGGACCAGACAATCCAGTGATTGACATCATGAGCATCGATCCACGCTATTGGGATACGATGACATGCATCAACCAAGTCAGCGAGCCTGACCACCCAATCCCGTTAGTCGCCTTTTACGACAAGCATAGTCGTCTTTTACGGCACGCATGGGTTGCTAAAGACCTATTCTACCCGGGATCTTCACGGGTCTACATCCTAGGGACTCAACTCTACACGTGGATTTACGAACTTGTCTGCTGGTAGGACTCTACACGCCTGGACAAGGGACTACGGATATAACAAACTGCAAGGTGTTCGTTACAAGGGTAGCTGAGTGTGTGGAGACGTACCGGGAGCTTCCCTTCTCATTCTATTGCCAGCTTCAATCCACTTCCCAAACAGCTTGAATATGCTTCTCGGATTGGCTGCTGTGCCACTGCAAGAGTTCTGGAATATAGTAAGCGTATAAATATCACCCATAGGGGTAGAATCAACGAATGTGAAAACTTTTGGATTAACCCGGATCTTCACTGTTTTGTGGGCTAAAAATTCATATCCCACCTAAAACTGGCAAGACCAATTTGTCTATTATTCTTGACACGTTAAGATACATACCTTTCCTACGCAGTTTGAGCACAGAGTAAAGTTGCACATTATACGGAAACTGCTGTCATTCTCTAACGCGAAGAACTTGAAGTATGGGCTGAGTGCAACCCGGGGCATCATAGAAAAACCCTTTGTCTTATTGATGATGATGCCGTCTCCACATCTACAATATAGGTAGCAGAATGTGATATTTCACATGTCAGAATGTCACGACAGTAATCCAGTGAGCATACAGAATATAGTTCAAACTATACATCTCTGTACACTGTACATCTGGGTCGGGAGTCGGCGGTCGTGGGGATGAGTCGGCGGTCGTGGGGATGGGTCGGTTGTCGTGGGGATGGGTCGGAGGTCGTGGGGATGGGTCGGAGGTCGTGGGGATGGGTCGGTTGTCGTGGGAATGGGTCGGGGGTTGTGGGGATGGGTCGGAGGTCGTGGGGATGGGTCGGTGTCGGCGGTCGTGGGGATGGGTCGGCGGTCGTGGGGATGGGTCGGCGGTCGTGGGTCGTGGGGATGGGTCGGTTGTCGTGGGGTTGGGATAGCGGTCGTGGGGATGGGTCGGAGGTCGTGGGGATGGGTCGGTTGTCGTGGGGATGGGTCGGTTGTCGTGGGGATGGGTCGGTTGTCGTGGGGATGGGTCGGTTGTCGTGGGGATGGGTCGGTTGTCGTGGGGATGGGACGGCGGTCGTGGGGATGGGTCGGCGTCGTGGGGATGGGTCGGCTTCGTGGGGATGGGTCGGTTGTCGTGGGGTTGGGTCGGCGGTCGTTGGGATGGGTCGGCGTCGTGGGGATGGGTCGGCGTCGTGGGGATGGGTCGGTTGTCGTGGGGATGGGTCGGCGGTCGTGGGGATGGGTCGGCGTCGTGGGGATGGGTCGGTTGTCGTAGGGTTGGGTCGGCGGTCGTGGGGATGGGTCGGCGTCGTGGGGATGGGTCGGCGTCGTGGGGATGGGTCGGCGGTCGTGGGGATGGGTCGGCGGTCGTGGGGATGGGTCGGCGTCGTGGGGATGGGTCGGTTGTCGTGGGGGTGGGTCGGTTGTCGTGGGGATGGGTCGGCGGTCGTGGGGATGGGTCGGCGGTCGTGGGGATGGGTCGGGGGTCGGCGGTCGTGGGGATGGGTCGGTTGTCGTGGGGATGGGTCGGCGGTCGTGGGTATAGGGTCGGAGGTCGTGGGGATGGGTCGTGGGGATGGGTCGGCGTCGTAGGGATTGGTCGGCGGTCGTGGAGATTGGTCGGTTGTCGTGGGGATGGGTCGGCGGTCGTGGGGATGGGTCGGGGGTCGTGGGGATGGGTCGGGGGTCGGCGGTCGTGGGGATGGGTCGGTTGTCGTGGGGATGGGTCGGCGGTCGTGGGTATAGGGTCGGAGGTCGTGGGGATGGGTCGGCGGTCGTGGGGATGGGTCGGCGTCGTGGGGATGGGTCGGCGGTCGTGGAGATGGGTCGGCGGTCGTGGAGATTGGTCGGTTGTCGTGGGGATGGGTCGGTGTCTGCGGTCGTGAGGATGGGTCGGCGGTCATGGATATTGGTCGGCGGTTGTGGAGATTGGTCGGCGGTCGTGGGGATGGGTCGGTTGTCGTGGGGATTGGTCGGCGATCGTGGGCATGGGCCAGGGGTCGTGGGGATGGGTCGGTTGTCGTTGAGATTGGTCAGTTGTCGTGGGGATGGGTCGGGGGTCGGTGTCGGCGGTCCCGAGGATGGGTCGGCGGTCATGGATATTGGTCGGCGGTCGTGGGGATGGGTCGGTTGTCGTGGGGATGGGTCGGCGGTCGTGGGGATGGGTCGGAGGTCGTGGGGATGGGTCGGGGGTCGTGGGGATGGGTCGGAGGTCGTGGGGATGGGTCGGAGGTCGTGGGGATGGGTCGGTTTTCGTGGGGATGGGTCGGAGGTCGTGGGGATGGGTCGGTTGTCGTGGGGATGGGTCGGTTGTCGTGGGGATGGGTCGGGGTCGTGGGGATGGGTCGGAGGTCGTGGGGATGGGTCGGTTGTCGTGGGGATGGGTCGGGGGTCAGTGTCGGCGGTCGTGGGGATGGGTCGGTTTTCGTGGGGATGGGTCGGAGGTCGTGGGGATGGGTCGGTTGTCGTGGGGATGGGTGGGTTGTCGTGGGGATGGGTCGGAGGTCGTGGGGATGGGTCGGTTGTCGTGGGGATGGGTCGGGTGTCGGTGGTCCTGGGGATGGGTCCTGGGGATGGGTCGGTTTTCGTGGGGATGGGTCGGTTGTCGTGGGGATGGGTCGGGAGTCGGTGTCGGCGGTCGTGGGGATGGGTCGGAGGTCGTTGGGATGGGTCGGTTGTCGTGGGAATGGGTCGGTTGTCGTGGGAATGGTCGGTTGTCGTGGGAATGGGTCGGCGGTCGTGGGGATGGGTCGGCGGTCGTGGGGATGGGTCGGGGGTCGTTGGGATGGGTCGGGGGTAGGCGTTTGTGGGGATTGGTCGGCGGTCGTGGGGATGGGTCGGTTGTCGTGGGAATGGGTCGGGGGTAGGCGTTTGTGGGGATGGGTCGGCGGTCGTGGGGATGGGTCGGGGGTCGTGGGGATGGGTCGGGGGTAGGCGTTTGTGGGGATGGGTCGGCGGTCGTGGGGATGGGTCGGCGGTAGTGGGGATGGGTCGGCGGTCGTGGGGATGGGTCAGCGGTCGTGGGGATGGGTCGGCGGTCGTGGGGATGGGTCGGCGGTAGTGGGGATGGGTCGGCGGTCGTGGGGATGGGTCAGCGGTCGTGGGGATGGGTCGGTTGTCGTGGGGTTGGGATAGCGGTCGTGGGGATGGGTCGGAGGTCGTGGGGATGGGTCGGTTGTCGTGGGGATGGGTCGGTTGTCGTGGGGATGGGTCGGTTGTCGTGGGGATGGGTCGGGGGTCGTGGGGATGGGTCGGAGGTCGTGGGGATGGGTCGGTTGTCGTGGGGATGGGTCGGGGGTCAGTGTCGGCGGTCGTGGGGATGGGTCGGTTTTCGTGGGGATGGGTCGGAGGTCGTGGGGATGGGTCGGTTGTCGTGGGGATGGGTGGGTTGTCGTGGGGATGGGTCGGAGGTCGTGGGGATGGGTCGGTTGTCGTGGGGATGGGTCGGGTGTCGGTGGTCCTGGGGATGGGTCCTGGGGATGGGTCGGTTTTCGTGGGGATGGGTCGGTTGTCGTGGGGATGGGTCGGGAGTCGGTGTCGGCGGTCGTGGGGATGGGTCGGAGGTCGTTGGGATGGGTCGGTTGTCGTGGGAATGGGTCGGTTGTCGTGGGAATGGTCGGTTGTCGTGGGAATGGGTCGGCGGTCGTGGGGATGGGTCGGCGGTCGTGGGGATGGGTCGGGGGTCGTTGGGATGGGTCGGGGGTAGGCGTTTGTGGGGATTGGTCGGCGGTCGTGGGGATGGGTCGGTTGTCGTGGGAATGGGTCGGGGGTAGGCGTTTGTGGGGATGGGTCGGCGGTCGTGGGGATGGGTCGGGGGTCGTGGGGATGGGTCGGGGGTAGGCGTTTGTGGGGATGGGTCGGCGGTCGTGGGGATGGGTCGGCGGTAGTGGGGATGGGTCGGCGGTCGTGGGGATGGGTCAGCGGTCGTGGGGATGGGTCGGCGGTCGTGGGGATGGGTCGGCGGTAGTGGGGATGGGTCGGCGGTCGTGGGGATGGGTCAGCGGTCGTGGGGATGGGTCGGCGGTCGTGGGGATGGGTCGGCGGTCGGGCGTCGTGGTGATGGTTCGGGGGTCGTCGAGATGGTTCGGGGGTCGGCGGTCGGGCGGCGTGGGGATTGGTGGGTGGGCGGTTGGGGGTCGGCGGTCGGCGGTCGGGGTGGATGGAGAGGGAGGAAGTGGACAAGGAGTTTTTGAGAGATTGACATACACTGTGTTCTCAAACTATTTATATCTATAAAAAAAATAAGTTTCCTCCTTGGACCGACCACCCGAGTCTTTCGTGGCACTATGGTGATATGAAAGAGTCGGCCATGACAGATGAAATGTGGTGATGTGAAAGACTCGGTTGGTCCACTCGTCCTTAACTTTTGAATAGTACACATTTTGCAAAACACTCCTACATGCAGCGTCCTCTAACTCACCCAGCTCGGACAATGGCGTGTCTGTGCCCCGTTGTAGTCCCTATAGCTTCACACGACACGGGAAACAGGCTGATGGGCGTGGAGTCCAACAATAATCCTGGATTTCAGATAGAATTTGGTAAAAATGTTGAAGTCCAATGGCTTGTCATAACTAGAATTGTGCCACACAAGGGGACATTGCATAAAAGTTAAATAAATGTAATCAAATAGCGGCGTGCGTGCTAGTCCGGGCTAATGCCGATTTCATAGTGCTAGCCCTCTGAGATATCAGGCAACAGTTTAACATGAACACCCCAGACAGAGAGTATACTAACTCTGAGAGGACTAATCCTTGTTTTAGCCCCTAAATGCCGAGCGCCAGGCACGGCAACAACAAGTACTAACTTTTAATCGAACCCCCGACCTTTCCCTCTCCGGGCAGGCATATTTCACTATTTCAGTGATAACACGATTAAAGAAACAGCTGAGGTTAGTTACAGTTGTGCACTGCTGAACACCTCAAGTGTACTTTTGATAATTAATTTTCGCCAAAATTTGTATCTAAAGGACATTCAGAAAAAACTGACAAAAGCCTGCAAATGCATGCATGTGCATTCAAGTGAAGATATATTATTTCTTTGTAATAAGAATTATTGTAATAATTGTAAGAAGAAGAAGAAGAATGACAGTCTACTTATAACGCATATATCCATGCGCACAAAAATGTCAGGAGAGTAAGAATGAGAATGAAAGTGAATGAGTGAATGCTTTGCGTTGCACTCTGCAATGTTCGAGTTGAATGTATCACGAGAGCCAGAGACATCAGTGACAAAGCGTGAACAACGACCCACGCCTTCGGGTACGATGACACGCCAAGTCACCCGGCCTGACCCCCTGCTGCTCTTTAGTGTGGATCTAGAAGCACGGGGCCTCTTCTTCCAACGTGTTCCCGTTGAAAGTATCCGAGGAGCAGGTATATCTTACCAGTGCTGTTGTCTAGTAAGACCTTCAGACACACAGTTTTGTCTATCGGAATTCCGCTTTTGAGGGGGACACCCCGAATGTCAGTGAGCAGAATAGTCACCCCCTTCGCCGTCTCCTTGCCCGCGTGCCCGTTGACAGCGTTCGGTGCATGGTACCTGACATATGAACAATTCATATACATAAGGAGTGAATGAGTGAGTGAGTTTGGTTTAACGCCGCTTGTAACATTATTCCAGTTATATCACGGCGTGTCAGCTTAATGTGGGAGGAAAGCCCGAAGTGATGCAGGTCTCAGACGTTTACCACTTCGGTGAAACCCACGAGCACGGGTATGGTGCTGACAAACCTAGAAACATAATCGGGGCGAACCGGGATTCGAACCCACAACCATAGGTTTCTGGCGTGCCCAAGGGACGCAACTCTGCACAGCGAATCGCCCCCCATATACATAAGGAAGAGAATATATGGATGTCTACTTCTGGCTTCCATACCTTCAGCGCTAATTACTGTAAAGTGTTGGCTTCCATTGTCTATTGCTAATCACCTATCAGCGCCAATCATCTGTTGGCTTCCCTTAGTTTCTACCCTTTGTTATTTTCCACCTTTTGTTATCTTACTATTGTCCTTACATGTACATATATATATGCTCTCTGCCTCATGACATTCATTCACCTGATGAAGGAGTAAGCATATACTCCGAAACGCTATGTTCCTCATAATAAAGAAGTTGACATCCATATATTCTCTTATGTGTATCACTTCTAAACGTTTTTCAAAGACCTCATTCATATACAGTGAGGCGAGATGGAATGGGGTGTTACGTTTTGTTTGTTCTTTAACACTGCATTCAGCAATATTCCAATCATACGACGGCGGTCTGTAAATAACCGAGTCTCGATCGTGACTGATATCTTGAGCATAGACCCACACTATGACATTACTTTGTTACTCCGGACAATTTCACTACGACTGATATAATCCGGTTAATAAGGTTTTTGTACAGGAAACGTAATAGGAGAGTATTGAGGAGAGTGAGTAAGTGAGTTGGGTTTAACGCCGCTTTGAACAGTATTCCAGTTATATCACGGCGTGTCAACTTGTTGTGGGTGGAAAGTCCGAAGTGATGCTGGTCTTAGACGTTTATCACTTTGGTGAAACCCACGAGCACATGTATGGTGCTGACAAACCTAGAAAAACAGTCGGGGCCAATAGGGATTCGAACCCAAAATCATAGATTTCAGGCATGCGCAACCCGTTGTGATCTCGCTACCATTAATGACCTCTGCCAAACCTTCCTCACTTGGTAAGGGGACGTTGTCCTGCATGAGATGTTCACTAAAAGCTCTCGTACATGGATTCTATAGAACACTGTAGTTTTGAAACACAGTTCTGTATTCTGCTGAAGATGCCAACCCTGTTCTCTGCTGGTATTGGTTCCCTTACCCAGTTTTCTTACCTCAGGAGGATTCAGGTGCCCCAAGACCTCCTCTCAGACCTCAGCAAAATTGTCTACATACGACAATTAGCATACCGTTCCTTGTCAATACCATTATGGTACACACTTTCCCACCTAGCGGTATCTGTGTCATTCATTCCATACATATTTGTTTTATATACGCCAGCCACCATTGTCAAACCAAGCTGGTGAGGAAAAATCTCCTTAATCCTCCGCAATGTGAAATAAGTCTTTCCATTTAAATACTTCCCACCACATGATGCTGAAGATGTAGTTTTTGCATTTACTGCTCTCAATAAACATCACCTGACTAATACCTTGCGTACGCATAGTAAACATACTTTTACTCACGTGTGCAAAAATACACGTGCAATTTTGCATACGTGAGTTTCGTTGTGCATGCGAACAGGGCTTTAGTATACTGAAACAACAACACGTCATCGTATTGTAGGAATATATGATTCTTTTGTCGTGAAAACGTTGCTTTGCAGTCAGCGTAATAAAGATAGGGCTGATGTTTTTTAATTTCCTCTTATTTTAAGATCGGCGGAATCAGTAAAGCAACTTATATCCAGATAACAGAGTGTCCGTACTCACTGCTCAACTATGGAACTGTTACCGGATACTTGGTCCCCGTTCTCGTCATAGGTGCAGGTCATGGTGTAGCGGATCATCCGGTTGATGCCGACCGAGGAGCCTTCCTTGCCAACAACGTTGACCAGAACTTTTACACAGTACAGCCTCAAGTCGTGACGTTTCTGTGGGCAGTAGTATTTGTGTTTGAATGAATTGTCGGCAATATTCCAGCTCGACTGTGGCCTGAAAATAATCACACGTGTGTCGGTGTCGGTGTCGGCGTCGGCGTCGGCGTCGGCGTCCGTGTCAGCGTCAGCGTGTGTCTAGGAAAGCCGTTAATCTGTTATGCTATGGGTGCTCCTTAAAATGTATTTATGTAGTATATGTATAATAGATTGATACATCTATTATAATAGATTGACGAGAGAGACACGTATGGCACACACTTGTATTCAGAATCCGTTCAAGTTAAAATTCATGGGACTGCAGTATTTCCCCTGACTTTGGATCTCTCACCCAAATCTCAATCTCAGCCCCCTGGGGAGTATATAAACTAAGCTACGGTTGGTTGGTTGGTTTGTTGTTTAACGCCGCACTCAGCAATATTCCAGCCATATGACGGCGGTCTGTAAATAATCGAGTCTGGACCAGACAATCCAGTGATTAATATCATGAGCATCGATCCACGCAATTGGGATCAATGACATGCATGAACCAAGTCAGCGAGCCTGACCACCCGATCTCGTTAGTCGCCTTTTACGACAAGCATAGTCACCTTTTACGGCAAGCATGGGTTGCTGAAGACCTATTCTACCCCGGAATCTTCAGGGGTCAACTAAGCTACGGCATGAGGCACTGGTAATGTTTACCATCACACTACCATCTCATCCTACCGGAAACCCATTCACTGTTCGAACAGTTCTTAATGAGATGCCACATGTGCTTCAGCAGGCGGCAGCAGCAACAAAGTCCGAGAATACTCAGGAGTAAAACTGCCGAGTAGGTCAAATCGAAATGGTGCTTCCCAAAACAGAATTTGTTCCGTATCTGGTGGTTGATGTCAGAAGACAGTTTAGTGTTTCAAGACTATCAAAATAACCATATGATTACTCAAATGATTCATATGTCCCGCATATGGTTTCGTCAGTGCGATAGTTAGGGCTGGTCCCACAGGAATGGTGAGGTGAAATGGGGTTTAACGCCGCGTCCAAGATTATTGCACAATCATATATAGCCGACGTGCATGCACCGGTGTGTGTGTGGCTGCTTGTACCAGTCCGGACTGATGCCGATTTATATTGCTAGCCCACTGAGATACCATGTCGCAGTTTAACATGAATACCCCACATAGACACAGTATACTGACTCCGAACCGACCAGTCCTTGTTTTAGCCCCTCAATGCCGACAGGGTAACAACAAGTACCATCTTTTAACGTCTTTTGGTATGACGCGGCCGGGGATCGAACCCCGGACCTTCCGCTCTCCGGGCGGACGCTCTACCATTAGACCACGGAGGCGGTCGGTCCAACAGGATAAGGTAATGAGTACATCAGCGCTCTTACCGGATAAACACATGTCTTGGTCTCGTCGCCGGTGAAGTGCGCGATAGAACAGTGTTTGACGCGGTCGACCGATGTGAAGTTATACAGGTAGCCTCCCTTGCACTCCAGTTGAATAAACACGTTGAGGTCGGTCATCACACAGACTGTGGTCTGGGTGCCCTCTTCACCACATTCCTGTTTAACTAAATCAAAGATGTCTCTAAGGGTATGTTTTTAAAAAAACAATTTGATGATTGAAATAGTTTCCTCAAGCTTAATACAAATAAAACCGTTCTCCGGGCATGTTAAGATCTGAATAACGTGTCGTGGGTAAAAACAAAATTCATTAAATGATCGGCCCCTTAAATATACTCCTCCGAAAAGGGAAACTCATGAGCTGATTTTAGAATGGAGAAAAATAAACATTTAATAAACATATGAACAGTGTCCAATTAGAAGACATGACACAGGTCAAGGCCATGTCCACCGTTAGCTGCTGCCTGTCACCTCCCACCCAGGACGGAAAGAGTAGGGGTCACACGCAGGGGAGTGTGTACACAGTTTGCCTCTATGTATTACTTGTGCAAACTGTTCAGTGGTTAGGTGCAGGATGACGTACCCTGCAATCTGAGTTTGGCTGCATCTTGCTTAACACCGCTCTCTGTAGTATTCCAGCTATATGACGGCGGGCGGTCAATAATCGAGTCTGGGCCAGACAATCCAGTGATTGACTTGAGCATCGATCTACGCAGTTAGGATACGATGACATGCATAAACCAAGTCGGCGAGCCTGACCATCAAATCCCGATCTGATGTTAGTTATATAGGCACATATAGCAAAGATTTGCAAGATTCAGATTATACTTACCATCGATGATGTAATCCTTTGGCACCTGTGCATCCGGGGGACGTTGTGATAAAGCCGTGGTCTACACAGGAATATAGGAAAGTCCATATCAGAAAGATTCGTTCACGATCGACAGACTCTCAACCCTGTGCTGCATGCGGTCAAGTTTCCGCGTGTTTAATTAACTCCACCCATTGAACCACTGCATCTGGAGTGCCATGCATCGCTTCATGTTAAAACAAACAAATAACACGCACTGTCTAAATACGTTTTAATATGATTTGTTTGTTTGTTGATAAGCGCCGCACTCTGCAATATTCCAGCTATATGACGGCGGTCTGTACAAAATCGAGTCTGGACCAGACAATCCAGTGATTGACATGAGCATCTTGAGTGAATGAGTGAGAGAGTTGGGTTAACGCCGCTTTTAACAGTATTCCCGTTATATCGCGGCGTGTCAGCTCAATGTTGGAGGAAAGCCTGAAGTGATGCAGGTCTCGGACGTTTACCACTTTGGTGAGTGAGTGAGTATGGTTTTACGCCGCTTTTAGCAATATTCCAGCAATATCACGGCGGGGGACACCAGAAATGGGCTTCACACATTGTACCCATGTCGGAAATCGAACCTGGGTCTTCGGCGTGACGAGCGAACGCTTTAACCACTAGGCTACCCGACCGCCCCACCACTTTGGTGAAACCCACAGGCATGACCATGGTGATGATAACCCTAGAAACAATCAAAGCGAACCTGGGACCGGAACCCACGAGGAGAGGGTTCAGTGTTGTCTGATGCTGGGCCATCCGTTCCTCATCCTTGATACGTAACACAGTACATGTACACCATGTAATGGTTATCATACCCAAACAATTAAAGTCATATAATACGTTCAACCAAGGATTCAAGGTACGCTATCAAGATGTGTGTTTACAATAATTTTAAGCTTTAAGACGAAGACTCATTTGAATATATTTCATCTGCCTTGCTAAACAGGCATGATGCATTCACATCATTCAAAGCTGTCCTTTTCAAACAGTTATTGTAGTACCGCATAAGAAATACCTGTCTACTTACCAGAAAAACCAGGAGCGCCAAAGCCTCAGAAAAAACAGCCATTTCTGTAGCAAAAAACAATTACCATTCTGGTATGACTAGCATATGCGTGTTCTCCATTCTCAAATACTTTTGACAGAGGTGAGGTGAATTGGGGTTTAACGTCGCGTCCAAGATTATAGTACTTATATAGCGACGTGCATGTATATGTGTGTATACTGACAGTATACCGAGTCCGAGCCGACCAGTCATTGTTTTAGCCCCTTAATGCGGAGCGCCAGACAAGCTAACAAGTACTATCTTTCAGCGCCTTTTGGTATGACGCGGCCGGGGATCGAACCCCGTACCACCCACACTCCGGGCAAACGCTCTACCTCTAGACCACGGAGGCGGTTTACTTTGGCAGAAAAAGTGTTGATGAAGTTGCTTGGGCAATAATGGCGACTTTCGATCATTACATCTTCATTTCTACAGAATCTGTGCTCCGGGTAGATGCCGTATCGGCGTATTGTACGCTTGTACGGATGGACTCTGGTCAAATACGCGGCAAACAATACTACACTCTCACATAAATAATTATTACCGTACCTTGTCTATTCTCAAACACATCAAAACATCGTTAAAATTCCGTTAATAACCCACTCGAATTCTCCCGTCTCTGTAATGTTTACCTTAGTTTGGCACCAAAATCCGAATGAACAACACGAGGTTTTCGAATTTTGGTGGCGCAAAGCAATGCAATACCGGAACACGTCAATTCTACACAAAAAAAGCAGTACAGAGCTTATTGGTTTGAAATATTATGCTTGGTACTCGTCGGTTCTGATAATGATCACTACTGTGCTCACATGGTTGAAAAAGTATCTGGAGCACTGGAATTATAGGTCGACGATGTATAATACCGCACAAATAACCATCCTGGTAGATTCTACTCGAAAGTGATGTTGGGTAAAAACTTTTTTTCTATGAATGACAAGTGAATGACATTTTATAAATGAGTTAATATACTGAGACGAACATGTTTCCTTGTTGAAATATGCTGTTACACATTTCTCATTTAGATATAATCTGAACGTCCATCAATTACAATGTGGTGTAATCGGCGTTTCCTCTATGAAACGCTCGTAAAATCCTTCCAGCGCAAAATATGATAAACGTGACAATCTCGTTCATATAGTGCAAGCTATGCTAAAATGTCAACATTGGTACTATGAGATTAACCATCACCAGATTGGGGATAACTACAACTAATACGTATAATACGTCAATCGTAGTATCACACTCCAAATGACGTATTGAGTATATACCGGTCGGCGGATAAAATCAAAAACACATTGATAGCTTCGATAGCACTATTTCAGGGTTGCGAAAGTAGCCTTTTATACGTGTATATCTTGCACACCCATTCAATTGCGAATTATTTATATAGGGGGTAGGCATTTTCTCGAAACTCGCTGGTTCATGGTGCGGAAGAAGATGCTATATCCCCTCACCCAATCCTCGTTTCATACAAGATTGTTGTTTTGCCTCCACTGGGGGCTACGGAACATCCCGTAAGAAAAGTATGTCAGCGTGTGCTGTTTGATTTACAGCACACCGCTACATCGACTGGCTACAAGTCATAATAAATATTTCTTACATCTTTAAACCAATCCCTTCCTAAAACACTTACCTCCAAATACTAATACTTTATTTCATCGACTGAGAACTTTGAATAAGGGTTCCAGATCGAAAACTAAAACTGGTACGGTTTGGGGAAACATAATGGCGGCCCCTCGAAAACAACACCACTTTGTAATTATTGTTTGTTAAAATCCTGTAATTTTATATATTGAAATAAATAAAATATTTATAAACAATTTAGTTGTATTTTGTAGGTATTCGGGTCAGTAACACACATCACAAGAACCGGAAAGTTTTAATTCATATGTTGGATAAAACATTACGACAAATACGAGATAGACCTCACCTGCCACCTCTGGAGTTGCACGTGGTGCACGTGTTTTGACGTGAGAATGTCACGTGAGATATTAAAGTATTGTCTGCACAACATTTTACAATAATTGTAAAAAGAATATTCGTAATTGTCATAATCTTACTAGTATTCATGTCGTATATCTATTAGACGTTTAAAGCCATACGGGTTTTGAAAAATAGCAGAAAGGGACAGTCCGGCATTTCAATTTATTGACGGCATTATTTAATAACAAAGTTAGTACATTAATATGTTTTCAAGGAAATATTATCGCCTCACTTTCACAATCTGATTCAAATCTGTTGAGAAGTATATGACTATATGACACTGATTATTTATTGTGGTTTGTAATAGAGAATAACGACCAACTTCTATTCAAGAAGACTAATGACGATCTTGGTTCCCAAACAAACACATGTTGTCATTGATAGAAAAATCGAACGTGAATTCAAAAAAGGTGAGGTGAAATGGGGTTTGGCGTCGGGTCTATTGCACATACATAACGACTGTACTAGTCCGGACTGATGCCAATTTAAAAGTGCAAGCCCACTGAGATATTATGCTGCTGTTTAACTTGAATACTTCCTCAGACACAGTATACTGACTCCGAGCCGACCAGTCCTTGTTTTAGCCCCTTAATGCCGAGCGCCAGACAGGGTAACAACAACAGACAAAGATCTACACACACGCAAGACGGCGGCTTGTAAATATTCGTGTCTGCGCCAGACAACCCAGTGACTGATATTTTGAACGCCGATCCACACCGTCGACCGAGCCTGACCACCCGATCCATTTTGATTTCTCGGGACCAATTCTTACATTGAAACTTTGTGAATAAAAAAGATAAACAATATATTATACTTTATATTATTACATTGTTCATGCACTGCGGGGCGGTTGGGTAGTCTAGTGGTTAAATCGTTCGCTCGTCAAGCCGAAGTTTGTTGTTTAACGCAGCACTCAGCAATATTCAAGCTATATGACGGCGGACCAGACAATCCAGTGATTGACATCATGAGCATCGATCCACGCAATTGGTATACGATGACCAAGTCAGCGAGCCTGACCACCTGATCCCGTTAGTCGCCTCTTGCGACAAGCATAGTCGCCTTTTACGGCAGGCATGGGTTCACGCCGAAGACCCGGGTTCGTTTCCCGACTTGGATACAATGTGTGAAGCCCATTTCTTATGCCAGGCAGTTTAGTAACTATCGATGTACAGTCTTCTGTTTCCGTATACAAATTTCAACTTAACAAAGACACAATAATCATGTTGGTTGGTTGGTTGGTTGTTTAAAGCCGCACTCAGCAATATTCCAGCTATATGACGGCGGTCTGTAAATAATCGAGTCTGGACCAGACAATCCAGTGATTGATATCATGAGCATCGATCCACGTAATTGGGATCGATGACCTGCATCAACCAAGTCAGCCAGCCTGACCACCCGATCCCGTTAGTCGCCTTTTACGACAAGCATAGTCGCCTTTTACTGCAAGCATGGGTTGCTGAAGACCTATTCTACCCCGAATCTTCACGGGTCCAATAATCATGTGAAACAAAGATATAATAGTACAGTGAGAATAAACACATCGCTATGTCAGACTCCCAATCTAAAATAATCAGGACCGCCTCCGTGGTCTAGTGGTAGAGCGTCCGCCCGGAGAGCGGAAGTTCCGGGGTTCGATCCAAGGTCGCGTCATACCAAAAGACGTTAAAAGATGGTACTTGTTGCTACCCTGTCTGGAGCTCGACATTAAGGGGCTAAAACAAGGACTGGTCGGCTCGGAGTCAGTATACTGTGTCTGAGTGGGGTATTTGTGCTTAACTGCGGCATGGTATCTCAATGTGCTAGCACTATAAATCGGTATCAGTCCGGACTAGTACAAGCAGCCACACACACACGTGCATGCACGTCGCTATATAAGTGCACTTAATCTTTGACGCGGCGTTAAACCCCATTTCACCCCACCAACCTAAAGTAATCAGGAAACTAACAGTTTGGGAATATAACCTTTTAAAGGCGCTTCATTAACTGCCGACTTCTGACTATTGAAGGACAACTTAAACACCATAAGAATATGCACTGGGATTGCCATTTTCATTCTTTTTCATTCTTGTCAAATAAAACTCACTGAGTCGCGGCAATACGCTGTGCAGAGTTGAGTCCCATGGACACGCCAGGAACCTATGATCGTGGTTTTGCCCGGATTAAGTCTTTAGGTTTGTGGGGACCATACATGTGCTAGTGGGTTTCACCGAAGTGGTAAACGTCTGAGACATGCATCACTTCAGGATTTCCTCCCACATAAAGCTGACACGCCGTGATATAACTGTTAAAATACTGTTAAACACGACGTTAAACACAACCACTCACTTACTCGTATTTCACTGAGCTGTATTTCAGAGGTTACGTTATTTCTCATTTTTCTGAAAAGAGTCAATTTGGATTTGTAGGAGTCCGCAGTAAAGATGTGTGTCAGTTGAATTAACCCATATCGCCAAGGCTAAGTGAAACACGCCCTCAAGAACCAGGCGAGAAGTAGTCACCCATATCGACCTGGATCTATAGCCATATTCGTCGCATTACACGACATGGCTTGAATGTTTTCCACATCATGAATAACCACGTCGAATGTATTTCTTCCATCTTGTATGCTTTCTAATAGCCCGAAATGCTTAAATCTAAACTATTTTAAAAACTCTATATTGTTCCTGAAAGTTGACATAAAGTATGTTTATCACTTTGATATAAGTCCGACAGGCGTTAAGTTGTCGTATTAAATGACGGATTCTGTATCACTTTCTGATTGGTCAGTTGACAACAGAAAAAAGCTAACCAAGAGGAGACTAATATGACTGGTAGTTTCGTTTAGTTCCTGCCTTTCATGACATAGAAATACAATGTTACAACGTCAGGGATGATGATGGGGCAGATCATGATCAGCACCAGTCCTATACCAACGCTCCCTATATATGTGGATTTGACTTGTTTGTTCGACACGCTTATCTTCGTGAGAAGGTACCTTGAGACGTTTTTCCTCTCTAGAAGCAGTTCCTGCTGCAACTTTTGACTCGCAGAACGAGCCATGACCAAATCTCTCGGGATGGACACTCTACATCGACAGATACACATATGAGTTGTGGTTGCATCGTTAAACGTTTTCGCGAGAGGTGGGACGTTGTATTCGGTTGAGGCATGTACTAGCGATGAAACTGGAGAAGTCATGACGGATTTCACAACATCATATATCAAATCTGTTCCCTGAGACACAGGAGACAAACATGACGGTTGATGGTCAGAAGAAAGTGTAGTTAGTACATGACCAGGAGTAGACGAAGGAGACAATTTAGAAGGATCGAGTAAATGGGGATCGACCGAAGGTGTTACTAGGACATCGCCAGGAGTAGACGATGGCGGCACTCTAGAAGGGGTGAGTGACGGTGGGTATCCAGAAGGAGGTGTTACTAGGACATCGCCAGCAGTAGACGATGGCGACACAGAAGAAGGGGTGAGTGACGGTGGGTATCCAGAAGGAAGTGTCACTAGGACATCGCCAGCAGTAGACGATGGCGACACAGTAGAAGGAGTGAGTGACGGTGGGTATCCAGAAGGAGGTGTTACTAGCACATTGCCAGCAGTAGACGATGGCGACACACTAGAAGGAGTGAGTGACGGTGGGTATCCAGAAGGAAGTGTTACTAGGACATCGCCAGCAGTAGACGATAGCGACACAGTAGAAGGAGTGAGTGACGGTGGGTATCCAGAAGGAGGTGTTACTAGGACATCGCCAGGAGTAGACGATGGCGACATTGTAGAAGGGGTGAGTGACGGTGGGTATCCAGAAGGAGGTGTTACTAGGACATCGCCAGCAGTAGACGATGGCGGCATTGTAGAAGGGGTGAGTGACGGTGGGTATCCAGAAGGAGGTGTTACTAGGACATCACCAGTAGTAGACGATGGCGACACACTAGAAGGAGTGAGTGACGGTGGATATCCAGAAGGAGGTGTTACTAGGACATCACCAGGAGTAGACGATGGCGGCACACTAGAAGGGGTGAGTGACGGTGGATATCCAGAAGGAGGTGTTACTAGGACATCACCAGGAGTAGACGATGGCGGCACACTAGAAGGAGTGAGTGACGGTGGATATCCAGAAGGAGGTGTTACTAGGACATCACAAGGAGTAGACGATGGCGGCACACTAGAAGGGGTGAGTGACGGTGGGTATCCAGAAGGAAGTGTTAATAGGACATCGCCAGCAGTAGACGATGGCGACACAGTAGAAGGGGTGAGTGACGGTGGGTATCCAGAAGGAGGTGTTACTAGGACATCACCAGGAGTAGACGATGGCGGCACACTAGAAGGAGTGAGTGACGGTGGGTATCCAGAAGGAGGTGTTACTAGGACATCACCAGGAGTAGACGATGGCGGCACACTTGAAGAAGTGAGTGACGGTGGGTATCCAGAAGGAGGTGTTACTAGGACATCGCCAGGAGTAGACGATGGCGACACAGTAGAAGGAGTGAGTGACGGTGGGTATCCAGAAGGAGGTGTTACTAGGACATCGCCAGCAGTAGACGATGGCGACACAGTAGAAGGAGTGAGTGACGGTGGGTATCCAGAAGGAGGTGTTACTAGGACATCACCAGTAGTAGACGATTGCGACACACTAGAAGGAGTGAGTGACTGTGGGTATCCAGAAGGAGGTGTTACTAGGATATCACCAGTAGTAGACGATGGCGACACACTAGAAGGAGTGAGTGACGGTGGGTATCCAGAAGGAGGTGTTACTAGGACATCACCAGGAGTAGACGATGGCGGCACACTTGAAGAAATGAGTGACGGTAGGTATCTAGAAGGAGGTGTTACAATGACATCACCAGTAGTAGACGATGGCGGCACACTAGAAGGAGTGAATGACGGTGGGTATCCAGAAGGAGTTGTTACTTGGACATCACCAGATGTTGACGATAGTGACACACTAGAAGGAGTGAGTGACTGTGGGTATCCAGAAGGAGGTGTTACTAGGACATCATCAGTAGTAGAC